CTGCACCGGTAGTACCTTGATAAAATCATTTGCTTCTTTCACAAGTCCCGCCCGACCAAGCATGTCTACTATACATGCATAGTGCTCCATTCTTGGTACCATTCCGTACGATTTCTTCATACATTCTAGAAACTCCATACCCTTGTGCGGTAACCCTACGTGGCTACAAGCATGAAGCAAAGATAGAAATGTAACATCCGTGGGCCCCACGTCATTCAACTTCATTTCTTCGTAGAATTCTAGTGCTTTCAACCCATCTCCATTACGGGCAAAAGCTGCAATCATTGAATTCCAAGAAACGTGATTTTTCCGAGGCATCTGATTAAAGAGTTTAACAGATTGTTCCAACTCGCCACATTTAGAGTACACGTTGATTAATCCGTTGCTGACAAAGACGTTAGACGCAAAGCCTTTCTTGATAACAAAAGAATGAATTTGTACACCTAGTCCTTGCGAAGTAGTATCGAAAGGGAATACACCAAGAACGGCAGAGATCATGTTCGGGTCGACATTGCTTCCCGCTTTTACCATCTTCACGAACAACTGTACAGCCTCTTCTTCGAATCCATTTTGCGCTAAACCCATGAGAATGACAGTTACGGAAACCTCATCGAACACCTTCGCGTACTCGAATATCTGCCAAGCTTCCTCCACGCTACCGCATTTTGAATACATATCCATCAACGCACTTTCTATGCATAAATCTGATTGGATCCCCGACTTGCAAACAAGACCATGAATTTGAGCACCCTCTTTGAGTGCTTGAAGTCCCGAGCATGCTGAGAGTGCACTCAAATATGTCAAACAATTGGGAGTCACCATACCGCATCCGTGCATTTCGACAAAAAGATTCAAGCTTTCACCGTAAAACTCGTTTTGCGCTAGACCCGAAATTGCAGCTGTCCAAGAAACAACATTCCTATCCGCCATCTCGTGAAAAACACGCATACCCGAATCGAAAGACTGACATCTAAAATAGGATGTCGTCAAGGCATTCTCAACCGTCACTTCGTTGTCATAACCACTTAAAACCGCCAATCCATGCATCATCTTCACAATTTCAAGCGACTCAATTCCACCACAAGCCGACAGCATCGAAGTTAAGCTCGCTTGATCAAAACTACAGATACCGGAACTCAACATCGATTTGAAGTACCCGAACCCCAGTTGCAAGTTCCCGCGTTTCAAGAAACCCGAAATGAGTGAGTTCCATGAGACGGTATCCTTCAGGGGCAAATCGTCGAACAGCTTAACTGCATGGTGCAGCTCGCCGCTCTTACAGTACATGTTGAGCAAACAGTTGTAAATTAGATTAGCGCTTCGATGACTAAGTGAGTAACCAAGAAATACGAGAGGTGGGCTCTTGATAATAGAGGCGTGGAGACAAGAACGCAAACGAAAATTGCTTTCTTTCGCACAAGAAGTGAGAAGGAGGACTAGGTTTGATTCTGTGGTGGGACTGAAATTCGTGTCGGAGAATTGTGGAGAAAAGGAGAGCGGCAGAGTTGAGGAGAAACGCCATGAATGAAGAAGCCGAGATCGTAGAGTAGTAGGAGAGAGGAGTTTTTGGAAGACTGCAGTCATCCATC